CCTTTGCTCAAAAGTGTCGCTATTTCGGCTTGAAGTAGGTGTGCTACTTCTGTTTTGACCGTGGATTCGACGCGCGCCGTAAAACGGCGGGGGCGTCGAGCAAACTGTAGCGAATAGCCTCTTTTTATAGTGTTCAGCACCCATTGTGATACCCCGGGAAGCTGCGCCCATGCTTTCGCATGAAGAGCTAGGAGTAGAATGCGATTCGGTCTCTGGCCGTAATCTAACGACGGCACGGGGGCTCCGTGTTGCTTTGACACAGATACTGTGTTTACAGTGTGTGAGGCAGGGGGCGCGCCGATGGGGGCGTGCAGCCTGGCCGCGCTCAAATCCCCTATAGCGGTGTGCTGAGGGAGAGTGAGCGGGGCGAGCCCCGTCGGGCTTAACATGTCCGTGAGAGAATGTGGGCGCGTAACAGCGGGCACATTCACTGCACTGAAAACACCGTCGGCCTGAGCTGACTGAATGTGTGTTGGTTTCGTTTTTACAGAAACCGTGGGACATGTGGTGTGTAGTGTTTGTGGGCACTGGGGCGTGGGCACATTCACTACATCTGATGCACTGTGTGTAGAAATGGGCACAGGTTTGTGGGCATTTTTATTACACTCATAACACCATCGGCCGAGGCCGGAACACCAGAATTTGCAAACTTTATTTGATTTATCTGGGTCGCCGTAAAAACGACGTTTGGGTGCAGGCAAGCGGGCTGTGGTGCCGACTTGTTTACTGCATAATACACTGGGACAGTCAAAATTCTTGGAACTGAACGAGCGAGAAACTTAGGTGAAAATCCGGCCGCAGCTGGACTTGAACACCGTCGTTTTCCTAAGCGTGCTAGGACGGCTTCGAGGCCTCGGGCTTGATCTCAATCCTTGGCCGGGGCCCGCGCGGAGGGGGGCGGCGGCCTGCAGAGCGAGAGCGTGGTCTATGGTCCCGGGCCTGGCGGCGCTGTGGAGCGGCGGCTAGCAGTGGCTGAGGCTGAGAGCTGCGAGCAGACGGCTGTTTAGGGCGACCTGCTGCGGAGCTAGAGCGCTTCGGGAGGAAGTGCTTCAGAGCCTGTGATGTCTTTTGAACTTCAACGAACCTTTCCGCAAAATCTTTGACGGAAGATCCGAATAGTCCAGTCGGTGAGCGCTGTGTAGATCCGGCACGCTGACAGCCTCCTGGCCTTCCTCGTCCATTTTCCGGAGAAGGTCGACCTGAAGTATCTGAAGCACGGCCATAGAGTGGAGAGCCGACGCAGCCTGCCCAGTGGCGGTGTAAGCGCGGGAGTGCAGGGCTGACGTGGTGCGGCAAGCCTTTGATGGTAGGGCCGTCTTAGCTCGCCGTCCAGCAGAGGGCGGGCAAAGATGGGCCGCTACGGCTTCTTCCACGGCGGGCAGGGAGTGATAGCCTCTGTCTTTCGCACCGTCCACCGTGGAGAATGCAGCAGAAACAGAGGGACGCACTCGGGCCGAAAAGGGGGCGGTCCAGGACTTCGCCACTTCTTCGTGAAGCTCAGGAAGAAATGGTGCTGGCCTGGACGGTGCTGGGGTGCGGTCGCCTTTCAGGAAGCACCCATCTAGTCGGTTGCGCGCGGGCTGCACGGGCGCCTCCCACTCGAGGCCGAGGCTCGCCACGGCCTGCGAGAGAAGGCGCATCAGCTCCGACTCGATGCTGGCTCTCTTGGATGACGGTGCACTGGCAGAGGGGGGGAGGTCCACGGAGCTCGCCCAATCCTCGCTGTCCGATGCTAGTAGAGAGCAGCTGGCCTCCCCTGCAGAGATCGCTGGCTCGTCGTCATCGATGACGGAAGCGGCGGCAGACCGCGGCAGTGAGCGAGCAGAGCGACGCTGGCGAAGCTGGCGGGCGCACCGGCGAGCATTCGCGGGAACGAGGAAACTCAGGGACCCGCTGAGCACGGCGCTTTTTACGGCGCGGCACTGTAGCGGGCTGAAGTGCAGTCTCTGTGAAGAATGCCAGGCGAGTCCGCAGAGTCACCATTGGCAGTAGCTCGCAGTGAGGGCATCCGCCGTCGGCGAGCGCGAGAGCTGCGTGATCCTCTCCCAGGCAGGAAACGCAGATAACATGGCGGTCCCCGTCACTGAGTGGGGCTCGGCACGAGCCACAAGAGGAAGCCATCTTGAAAAAGACGCGGCTCTTTGTGTGCGTCGCGGGGCAAACACACACACACACACACACACAACACAGAGCAGTGAAAAAGGATATAGAAACGCCGGATTTGAAGGCCAGCGACTTCAGTAGCAAGGGCTCGTCCCGCAGAAAGCTGTATCGACGGCGCGGCTTCTCACTCTGGATCCAGTCGGTGCGAACGCTCCGCTGAAGAGATGAAAATCAGAGTATATCAGCCCATCGAGCCGTATTTATAAGGCTAGGCCACGCCCGTTACGGCGGGAGCGTGACGCAATGGGCGCGAAGTGCCCTCATTGGACTGTCACTGAATGGCCTCTCTCGATAGGCTGCTGCAATTGCCACAGGCCAGCCAATAGGCGCGCTAAGCCGCCTTGCCTATGTCTGCTTGCTGTTGCAATGTGTTTTGCATTAATACAAAATTAAGGATAATTTTTGGGCTTCAATATCTCGAGGAAAAGAGGTTTTACCCTAGCGTAAGATATTACGCAGTACGAGAGAACCTCTCGTAAGAGAACCAGGGTTACGTGAGAAACCCTAAACGTTTTCAACTGAAAACAGAAATTTTTTAATGCATTCTTGCCGTTCATTTACACGACAACGGCGTTTTGTTTGCCTGAGAATGCAAACTTTGAAATAGTGCACGTTTTTTGAAAATGAGTTTTGAAAATGATACTGTTATCATTTCCATGTAAACTTCAAAAACGTTAATCTGTTAAAACAGTGATGCATTGCATTGCACATGCTCCTGCGCGTGTTTAGTCTATAGGCATGTGCATTTGAATGCGTATGTGCGCAGTTTCTATAACAAAGTGACATTGCTAATTAGGCTACTTGTCTTGCATGTATCATACAGCGTTTTTTTATCTTTTCCGCGGATCCGTGAATCATTTTGATAATGTTTTCATCTGTACAGAAGAAAAAAAAACTTTTGCCTTCGCAGGGGAGTCTAGTGGACACCATCTCTGATGACACTTTGTGTCGAGGGACAAGTAGTAGCATTTAATATTTAATAGCAAACAATGCAAGATTCAAATCCCAATGATGCCACATTGGAAAATACATTTACATTACCTAACTTATGTAACATAAAATCCATAATGTTTGTAATAGTATTCAGTGTGTTATCAAAATAATAGACAAATGTATTAAACCGAACGGAAAGAGATGCAAATGAAAGGTTTGATAGTAAGAGCTTTATGAAAGGCAGTTACTGTGAATGTTTAGATGAAACCCTTATTTTGTGTAGTGAAAAGGATAAAATTTGATTTACTGTACAAACACAATTGAAAATATGATGAAATGTTTGAAAAAAAGTGCACTTTTGATGACCTGTTGTGATATTAATACTAAGCTTTGAAAACGTAACACCTGCTTGTGGAAATTGCACCAAAGCAATTTAAAAAAAACTGTAATAGCCTATATTTGTATGCGAATATTTACTTATGTAGGTCAAACCAGAACACTAATGATATTTTCATATGGTTATTGATATTAACCCTACCCATAAACCTGTGAACATCACTAAATTTAAAGGGAAACATCAAGTCACATTTATGACACTTTTGTATAGGTCTGGTGACAAGTCTGTGTTTGACGTTTATTTTTCATTCATTTTTGAGTATAGTTTAATCAACGAACCTGTATAAAGCTCCCTTCCCCCACCGTGTGTCCTTTTATATAGGTTTTTATTTTTATTTAGGATACTTTTCAATCCTCTCTTAGCACTAATCTCTATTTCCCCCCAAAAAAGCTTATAGGTTTTTAGTTGTTTTGATTATTTTGTGTTTGTAAAATATCAACATCTAAATTAATGCATTCTTGTCACAGCATTGCCAAAGTATTACGCATTAATGAGAATTTGGCAGGATAATTGTGCTTAATTGTCAGAAGAATAATGTAACAATCCTAAAAATCGTCATGGTCCTGTACAAGCTTATATACTTAGATATATACTACATATATATATATATATATATATATATTCTTTCTTTATAATGTTGTTTCGTTTTTGTTTGTTTGTTTGGTTTTAAAATGTTACCTGGACATGTTTTCGAAATAGTCATAATGAATGTTAAATGTTGTCTATTATGTAGTCAGACAGTCGAGAGGAGCATCGGGCGCCAGAGGAACAGTTGGACACCTGTCGCACCCCTCCCCTCTCTCTCCCCCTCCCCTCTCTCCTCTCTCTCCCCCTCCCCTCTCTCTCTTTCTCCCTCTCTTTCCTCTATTGTACTCGACCCTGACTGCGCGTGCAGCTGCCAACTGACGGCATTACGTTACATCCGCGCTACCCCTGTCATCTGCGAACTCAATTTTGAACAGATTTCTCATGAACTTAAACTTTTATCTGGTCTTATGCATAATTACCCAAAATTGTGCATAAAATATGAATTGTTTTCATTTTCTAAACAAAAATGATAAAATGATTATTATTATTATTTAAAAACGGATGAGTTTAACTGTAGTATATGAAGGAAACTCGGCCAACAAGTGCCCAGCATACTGAGAACTGAAGAAAAAAATACCGAGTAAAAAAAATCTAGTAATTAAAGACAGAGCATGTGTGTGTATAAAGGAAGAGTGGGTGTGTCTAAAATAAAAATTGCATAAAAAGAAAAATACAAAAACAAACTAAAAAGTGGTGCGTGCAATACACATATAATGGATATATAGCCTACATAATGTATATAATGGATTGATTGTATTCTACAGTCATGTTAACAAGACTCATTAGAGCGTTTGCCGAAGAGAAAGCTAAGCCTAACCAGGTTTACAAACAAAAAGAATTGAGTTCTGCAGCTTCGCTTATGCGCGCTCTCGGAGACGGAGACAAAAGCGCGCGCGCCGATTGGCTGGAGCGAGCACGCGAATGTTTCATTCATATGCAAAGTGGCTAATATAAAGCCCTCACTCTAGCCTCACATCGCTAAACTATCAGCCCCGTTTGGTTTGTACACAAAGCACAATAGAGAAGACCCAATATTGCGTCTTTCCTCAGCTTTATTTCCCGGAGCGAGCGGTTCCGGACGGCGGAGCACCCGGTTCACAATGGCCCCCGCGGCCAGACTCAGAAACGACTTCGGTGGTGTGGAGGACGACGCATATTATGCCGCTAAAGGTGACAGAAAGGTAAGGCCATTTTGCGTTGTCCTTAAATGGCAAAAAAGAAAACGTAAGTTTGTGGTATGGTTAAACACACACCGCATGTATGTTTTTCTCCTTAGACTCGAAAACCAATAGTGGAGAAAAAGAGGCGAGCGCGCATTAATGAAAGCCTGCAGGATCTCAGGACTCTGCTCACAGATAGTGATGTAAGTTTATCTCCTCTTTACTGACAATCAGTGGATAGATAGACAGATAGACAGACACAGATATATATATATATATATATATATATATATATATATAGAGATAGATAGATAGATAGATAGATAGATAGACATGTAACCCAGTAGGTTATAACTGTGTTGTTAATAAGTTACTTCAATTTATTAGCTTGTATTTGTTTAATTAAGAGAGAAAATGTGAATTAACCATTCATCTTTGTTTGTGATCATACGTGTATTTGTGCCTTTAAGAGCGCGCGTGCATGAGATACAAGTTTGATAGAGGTGTACTTGTGGAAAACGTGGCTTTAACCATCAAGTTAGGTGTTTGATTAGTTATTGGTTTATGTGAATTAAGTCCCGCCCTCACTGGTGTTTTGTGTAATGTGAGTGGTTGTTCGGGACATGAGAGTTTTTGTTGACAAGCGCGAGGGAGAGAGGGAGAGAGACGGAGATTGAGAGAGACGCATTTGCGGGTACAGAGTGATTTGATTGACGATTTTATAAGTTAAACAACCTTTAACTGTAATGTAGATCCAAGATGAATTGCTTGTGTGTGCGTCTTTGACTTTGTAGCCAGTGTTTTTATAGTTTTGTTTTGTGTGGCTAACCTGCCGTGTGGGAGCGAATCCGAGTGTTTTCGTTTAGTTATCACTGCGCATATCTGCGCATCTGAACTGATTACAGCGACAGTTAAACAACCGACTAAAGACTGTTTAACCTGGTTGTTGCCCTTCACAACGAGGGAGACCTTGAGGACCAGATAGCGCCCCAAATACCCGCGTTATTTGGGGTTCCTCTGGCGGCGTGGGAGGTGCATTTCGTCGGCTGACGAGGGAGAGAGAGGACGAGGAGCTGCGTGACGCCTGCTGCAGGATTCCGGAGTTGCGGTACCATTGCTCTGTTACAGCGGCAGGGAGACAAGTTAAAGATAAAGAGTCAACTTCTGTACAGAGTCACCAAAAGTTCCTGTGGTAGAGACAAGACACAACTCGTCTTACCCGAGAAGTACTGGGCTACTGTGTTACAATCATTGCACGACGACTCTGGTCACTTGGGAGTAGAAAAAACTACGGAACTTGTGAAAGACCGTTTCTATTGGCCTAGAATGTCTGCATACATAGAGCAGTATGTCAAGGATTGTGGCCGGTGTGTAATGAGAAAGACGTTACCCAAGAGAGTGGCCCCACTGAATCACATACACAGCAGTGGGCCATTCGACTTAGTGTGCATCGACTTTCTGTCAATTGAACCGGACTCAAAAGGTATTGGTAATGTTCTCGTCGTAACAGACCACTTCACACGCTACGCTCAAGCGTTCACCACCAAAGACCAGAAAGCTCTGACTGTGGCTAAGATACTGTGTGACAAATTCTTTGTTCACTATGGCTTACCCTCTCGCATCCATTCTGATCAGGGTCGAGATTTTGAGAGTGGTCTCATAAAAGAGCTTCTAAGCATGTTGGGAATCCGAAAGTCCAGAACGACTCCCTATCATCCTCAAGGAGACCCACAGCCAGAACGGTTCAACAGAACGCTCCTTTCCATGCTTGGTACCCTGAATCCAGCCGAAAAGAACCGATGGAGTCAGCACATTAACAGTTTAGTACACGCTTACAACTGTACTAAGAACGAAGCCACTGGGTTTTCCCCTTACTATCTTCTGTTCGGAAGAGAGGCTCGTTTGCCAGTGGATGTGTGTTTCGGGACTTCGCCTGATGGAAAGGGAGCAGGAAGCCATCGACAGTATGTGGAAAGAATGAAATTAGACTTACAGAGAGCATATCAGTTAGCCACCGAAACTGCCCAGAAAAGTCAGCGAAGGAACAAACGGTTGTACGACAAGCGAGTGAAACACCAGAGTCTGACTGTGGGAGATCGTGTGCTGATAAGAAATCTGGCATTGACTGGAAAGAACAAACTCTGCAACAAGTGGAATTCTGTTCCTTACCTGGTGGTGGAAAAGCTAGAGAACTTACCAGTGTATCGCCTGAAACCTGAGTCCGGAATGGGAAGTGTAAGAACATTACACCGAGACCATCTCTTGCCAGTTGGGGATCATGTGAGGTTGACAGATGCTGGAGAACCTACAAGAGTTGTTGCTCCGGCGGAGACCAGGACAAGATCTAGGGAGAGAAAACGGAGAAGAGGATTAGGAGAAAGAAATGTAGTGCCGACAGGGTGTGAGTTGAGAAACTCCTCTGAAAGTGAAGAGGATGACGTGTGTTATTACTACTCGGATAGAGTGGAGAGACAGCACAGTCCAGAGTGTGTTACACTGGAGGACTCTACAGTGGAGGATGAACCGGTTAACTGTGGATGGGAGGTGGATAGACCTTTTGACGACATGGCAGAGCCGATGATCATGGAAGAAGGCCCTGGAGAGTTTCCCGATCGAAGTTCAGAGACTAGGGGAGATCCTGGTTTAGAAGGGGGAGAGATGGAAAGAATTAACGCTACTAAAGAGGTAGTAGAGACAGTTCATTCCCGCCCAAAAAGGGAGATACGACCCGTAGTCAAGTTGAGCTATGATTCTCTGGGACAGCCCACTAACAGACCCTTAACTCTGATTCATAGAGGGATGGTCATAAATGTAGAGGGTGGGGAAGGTTCAGAAAGGAAACCCTGTAACACCATGTGGTGTCACCCTATGGCACAATGTGTTCGTTGTACTCAGTTAAACCCTTCTACTGAGCCTAAAGTCACCATTAAGGTGTTGAGAAGTAATCTCATGGGGTCATGAGATGTTTAGAAGGGGGAGCATGTAACCCAGTAGGTTATAACTGTGTTGTTAATAAGTTACTTCAATTTATTAGCTTGTATTTGTTTAATTAAGAGAGAAAATGTGAATTAACCATTCATCTTTGTTTGTGATCATACGTGTATTTGTGCCTTTAAGAGCGCGCGTGCATGAGATACAAGTTTGATAGAGGTGTACTTGTGGAAAACGTGGCTTTAACCATCAAGTTAGGTGTTTGATTAGTTATTGGTTTATGTGAATTAAGTCCCGCCCTCACTGGTGTTTTGTGTAATGTGAGTGGTTGTTCGGGACATGAGAGTTTTTGTTGACAAGCGCGAGGGAGAGAGGGAGAGAGACGGAGATTGAGAGAGACGCATTTGCGGGTACAGAGTGATTTGATTGACGATTTTATAAGTTAAACAACCTTTAACTGTAATGTAGATCCAAGATGAATTGCTTGTGTGTGCGTCTTTGACTTTGTAGCCAGTGTTTTTATAGTTTTGTTTTGTGTGGCTAACCTGCCGTGTGGGAGCGAATCCGAGTGTTTTCGTTTAGTTATCACTGCGCATATCTGCGCATCTGAACTGATTACAGCGACAGTTAAACAACCGACTAAAGACTGTTTAACCTGGTTGTTGCCCTTCACAACGAGGGAGACCTTGAGGACCAGATAGCGCCCCAAATACCCGCGTTATTTGGGGTTCCTCTGGCGGCGTGGGAGGTGCATTTCGTCGGCTGACGAGGGAGAGAGAGGACGAGGAGCTGCGTGACGCCTGCTGCAGGATTCCGGAGTTGCGGTATCATTGCACGTGGAATTGAGGTATCTTTGTTTGAATTGTTTTGTGCTCAGGAGAGTGAAGGGGCCATTTGTCAGTTTCCCGGCCACCACGAACACGAGCCACGTTTCAGGCCTGCAACGGGGTGGGGTTGAGTCAATGACTGGTGTGTGTGTGTGTGTGGGCCCACCGCATTAAATATTGGTACATTCTAGTATTATTCAGTGCACTGAACATGTAATTGTTTATATTCAGAGTATATTTGGTATAATTTGTGAGTTATTGTATACATTTATCCCATTGAGGTCATTGGTTTAAGATATACTGATTCTATTGGACCTGTATACTAATTTCAGTAGGTCGGGCATCTGAGAAATTGTCCTTCGAGGATTAAATTGTGTCCCATTTAATGTGAATGTGATTGTGGGAACACTTCACATTCTGAAACTCATTGTTTGAGCCAGTTAACATTTGATCATTCTATTACAATTAAATCCTTTATTTGTTTTGTACTTTTACCAGTGTGTTATTCTTTCAGAAGTGTTTGTTGACTTCATCAGTTTGGGGGCGTAGAGATTTAATTCTGAGTAACTTCGTAAAAGGAAAGTATAGATTATTATTCTAATTTTCTAAAAGAGAATTAATTCATTTAGTGACACCAGAGGGGCCTAACTTCAACATCTGTAGGCATATAGTTAATGAATCTGGAGCGCTGTCCTACTTAATTACAAGAAAGACAGGTAGGGGGCGCTACAGACAGATAAATAGATAGATTCTCACCTCACTTTATAAACAATATTGCATATTTATCTCACTTTTCCTTCAGTTGCAGACAAAGATAGAGAACGCAGAGGTGCTTGAACTAACAGTGAGACGAGTTGAGAACATACTACAGAACCGCTCTCAGGGTAAGATGAGCCAACCTCAGGTGCAATACACAGAGGCATGTGTAGCTTACACTTGTTTGCAGTGTAAACGACTGAAAGCGTGTGTGTGTCTGGATTACAGAGGCTGAAGCTGTGAATCAGGAGGCCAGCGAGAGATTCGCAGCGGGTTATATCCAGTGCATGCATGAGGTGCACACCTTCGTGTCCACGTGTCCCGGGATCGACTCCAAGCTGACCTCAGAGCTGCTCAACCACCTGCTGGAGTGCATGCCCTTAAACGAGGAGCACCTTCAGGAGATGATCCTGGACCTCATCTCAGAGCCGTCCTCCTCCAGCGGGGAGTGTGTGTCCGACCTGTCCTCAGCACTGTCCCCGTCCCCGTCCAGTGAGGACCTGTGCTCCGACCTGGAGGAGAGCGAGAGCGAAGCAAGCTCGGCCAACTCCTCCAGCATCACACACTCCGAGGTCGTGTGGAGGCCGTGGTAGAAAGATCACAAATCTTCCTTCTTCAGAATACACTTAATCCTGTATTGGAGCATATGCTGGGATTCTTTTGTCATGATTCAGATTCTCATGAGGAAATGGCTAGAGCTTTAGGATTTATATACGCACATAAGCAGGATATGACATCATCTTACGGAAGAGTATGGAATTTGACGGACTTTGACATATTTCCGGATGCTTTTCTTCAGTTTCTCTTCAGAAACAAGATGACTATAAAAGCTTATTTAGAAGTGAATTTTAGATTGAATTGCCTTAAAAAAGTGAACCGTAATGACTTATATAGAGTTTTAGTGGGGAGAAAGATTTGTTTTGTGCCTTTGTAACCTATAGTTAAAAAACACTAAAAGTCACATTGAGAGACCGAGTAGATTAAGTGTAGTAGTTATAAAGTATGTTTTTAATATTGTGTACTTTAGGGATTAAAAATATTAATAAAATATATAATTTAATTGTACTATAAGTGTCATAGTATCAAGATCGTAGTATTGCAGTACTGCAGTGTCCGGTATAGGGTAGAGATGTCTTGTATTTCATGTTTATGCTCTTATGAAAATGTCTTTTGTTTTTGTTAATAGTGATTGTGAATTTATTTGATTTGTATTAAAAGTTTTCATGTTAATTTGTCAATGGGCTAGGTGTGAACACAGTAATTCATGTACTTGTAAGATTAGGACTGTTTGAAGGAACAGGATCATGTAACTGATGTAACTGACTGTAACCCTTTTAACCCAGTTAGTAAGATCAAAACTGAGGACGTTGAAGGGAGGAGAGCACATATATATAACCACACGGTTACATATTAAATCATTACAGATTTATGGTACATTATATTCATAAACCTGAGCCCATGTAACATAAGCAAACAGCTGTTAGCTTTAGTTTTCTTTTTGATGATATTTTAAAGTTTTGGGGAAAGTTACTTTCATTCTGGATTGCAGAATAGGACGCAGGAGAAGAAAGTTTAACACTTACTTCAGCAATAAAAACAAAAAATGAAACAAATGTGATGTTTATCTAAAGTCATTTTTGCTTAGTATGGTTGAATTGGATCATCGAAGGTCAACAGCAAAGACATTGGTTAATAAAGTGAGATCAAAAGTATATTTGTATTATTTAACATTTAATTATTGCAGGTTTGCATGATCTTCTGAGTTTACATTTCACTGTTTTTAATCATTTTGAGGAATACTGAATGTGTTTTTGTGCAGTGAGATGAGTAAATGCATCTTCTGGAGTAAATGAGAGAACACATTCAGTCTAGAACTACAATAACCATCATGTTCACACAGCGTACACACAACGCCTCTGCACTGACAGCTCTCTTGTCCTCGTGTTGAGAGAAATCGCTCAATAAATGAGAAAACAAAATAACTTGCGTTATTTATTTAAAAAAGTAACTCAGATATTTTGTTGTAAATGTAATGCGTTACTTTTGTAGTTGAAAAAGTAATCTGCTTACGTAACTCACGTTACTTGTAATGCGTTACGCCAACACTGTTTAGAAATGATAGAGGGCCAATAAAATGCGAAAAAGATGTATGTATATCAGTGACTTACAGTGTGATGTGGTCAGGTAAGATTGCAGATAAAGTGTTTCCAGAGATTCTTGATGGTTCCTAAGTCGAAGAAACTAAAGAAAGTCCAGAACATTTGAATAATCCTTAGAGTTCAGAGAATGCAAAATATTGAAAAGAGATTGACATTTTTACAGAATTGATTGCAATTGAATTAATTTAAAACAAAAATAAAGCTCATTCACCGTTTGAAATAGCGATGGGATGCATTAACAGATGTTTAAGGATATATTGAGTGGGGTGAGGGGTCAGCTGACTGTTGAGAGAACAGATGGTGATGAAACAGATCCCTTGAGACCAAGAGGTTTTACGTCTCGACCAGCTGGTTCAGACTAAAGAAATAAAATAAGAATAAATAAGTAATACTTTTGAAAAAAAAAAGGGGGTCTCTTTGCCTTTTATGGACCCCACAGTGCTACTAATGACCATAATATTAAACTTAAACTATTTATTCATTTTAATTTTTATGACAATTATAAAGTGCTGTTGCTTAATGCATTAAACATGATTAAATAGTACTTGTATATTCAAATCCAACAATTTTAAAAATATCAAAGTTATTGCCAGTCATCAATATTAATTAATCCGTCAAATAATAAACGCTATTAAATAGTAATTGTGTATTCAAAACCTAATATTAAAAAAAAAAACTATCTATTAGTGTTTGCCAGTCATTACATTTATTTGGAACCATGTATGCCAACATTTCCCCTTAAACATATTACCGATTTTACTTTAGAACATTCGATTATTTGGTTGTCACAGGCTTTCATGTGGTTATCCTTATTCAGACAATTAAAACTGCTGACAGAGAACTAGAGGTATCGTTTTATTACAAGGTAGGAATAATGAGACATGTTTGTTTCACTACATTTATGAAAAAACAAACAAACACAAACCAAATGACATGCTCATAAAAACTATTAAACAAATTTGAATAAACTAATGTTTACTGACAGGAACAGTTTAAGCAGTCGCCACAACCCTAAGGCTCTTTCAGCTCGTCGTACATTCATTTGCTTCAACACTTCACACATCATAAACTGAGATGTAGAGAGCCAGTGGCAGTATTCATACCTCAGCACTACTGGCCATGAAGTACACCCCACAGTACACCAAACTTCAGACAATAGAAGCAGAGTATTTCAGGTACGGGAACAGTTTACAGGATTTCTGTCACTGTTGGACAACTGCAATGTGAACAGAACATCTGTATAGCCAAACGACAAAAGAAGCGACGAAAGGTCGAAATTTCGATTTCTTGGTCAATTTCTGTCTACAAAAATACTAGTTCCCATGATTGCACATCCCTGAACACCCACAACAAATACGTCCTGTGCATGTTCTGACGAAAAGACAGGCAAGTAAGCGGAATAGACTGGTCATGTGATGTTGGCACTTGGCAGCAGCTTATTTGGCTGGAATGATCCCCAAACTCACAGTATATGGTGGCGTTTCAGTTCTTGGTTTTGATTGCGTTGGTGCATTAGTATTGGCTTGTGTTTATAATAGGTCTGTTTCTCTTTTTCATTTCTACACATTGTAGAATAGATGCTCTACACCTCATTCATATATATATATGTGTATGTTCTGATATGTGCACAGAGCACCATTCCACGAAGGAAAACATTGCTGTAGCTACATAAACAGTACAGAGAACTGGAGAAAGCTATAAAGCGACAGAACCACAGAGCGTGCTCAGAGTCAGGTCCATGTGACAGCAGTTCCAGCCAATCAGAGAGAGCACACATTTGAACAGCATCTTTGGGTTAATCAGTCAGCTATCTGGCATTCTTTTGTATTTACACGCACACATAAATAAACACATTCATAATCTTTCAGGAAACAAAGGATATCTGCTTAAACTTCAACTGTGTACAGGTGTGAGCCTGGAAGGTCCTGTTGTCTCTGCTGGCTGAGATTAGTACATTGTCAAGAAGACCCAGATCATGATCCACTAGGTTGCTCCTTCTCTTCCTGTGAATGAGATCCTCCTCCATCTTTTCCCACCTCTCCTCTCAAAATCCCCAACTCCATATCAGGCAGGTCTTCTTCTGGCTGAGAGGAGACCTCATTCTCGCAGAACATACAATCCTACACAAACACAAGCAAGAGTTGTTTAACCACTGTGCTTTTACCACTCCTACCAACTGACAGGCTCAGTGTGGTGCTCTATATGCACATATTGGGTGAAATATGGTTTGTCAATTCTGACTAATTAAGATTTCTAAACAATATTTATAATCAATAATCAAGACTATTCGGAGGTCATTATGGAAGCTTGTTTCCGCCACAGAATAAAACAATTTAAAAGATAGATGCGACCTCTCATCTCACAATTCAGACTTTTTTTCTCGCAATTGCAAGTTTATATCTCACAATTCTGACTTCTTTTCTTGGAATTGTGAGATATAAACTCACAATAGCGAGTTATAAAATCCAAATCTGAGGGGAAAAAAAAAACATGCTTTTTTATATCACGCAATTCTAACTTTATAACTCGCAATTGCAAATTTATAATTCCAGATGTAAAAAAGTCAGAATTGTGAGATAAAAAGTCACAATTAACTTTTTTATTTTTTATTCAGTGCTAGAAACAAGCTTCCATAGGTCATCTTAATGCATTCTTTTCCACAAACGTTTTTATTATTACCAACTCCATTGCTGTTACACTCAATGTTACAATAATGTTCTTACTCATCACAAAAGTTTATTATTTACATGAGTTGATTTTAATTTTACTGTGTCAAATCAACCAAATTTCTGAACATTTTTCTGTAGAAAGACAGACATAATTAGTGATGAAAGCCAAAATATTAAATGTCACAGATGTATATTGACTTGAGTAATCCACTATTTTGTACAGAGGGGTCAATTTCACCTGAGATTTGGAGCTAATTCTAGAGGGGTGTAAAATGACTTTAGAAAGACAGCAGCATCATTATTTTATTATTACACAGAGGTAGGATGGTAGGTCTATTAGTAAAATCTGTTTACTAGCAATCTTTGTATCATTATATGCCAATGGTGACAGTTCAAAAAGGACAAAAAAGCACTTCTTGTGCGTTTTTTGCCACACGTTTGCATGCCTGTAACTCCAGAAGTATTAAATATAAATAACATCCTTTTAGATTCTGGTTCTTAACAAACTTTCCTTTTGGTATCATAATTTTAAAGGCCAAATATGGTTAAGTCCCAGACAGAGATATGGAGATCTTAATGCAGCTCCGTGAGTAAATTGGTCAATTTTACAAATTTTCAGTGGCCAAAAAACAAATGTGGCATTTAATGATACAAAGATTATTAAGTAAACATATTATACTAACATACCTACCAATCTCTGTGTAAAAATAAAATAATGATGCTGCCGCCTTTCTAGTCATTTTTACACCCCTCTAATTTAGCTCCAAATCTCAGGTGAAAATAGTCAACATAGTGGATTACTCAGTAAATATACATCTGTAATATTTTATATTTTGGCTTTTATCACTATTTATGTTTGTCTTTCTTCAGAAAAAATATTAACAAAATCAAAAATTTGAGCTGGGACCTCTCAGCACACACCCAAAACATCTGCACATAAAACCGACTATCACACAGCCTAAGTTCTCTTTTGCGCCTTATATGAAGCTTGTGTGTTTTTGACAGTTTAAGCACAATACACACGGTGGGTTATGTTTTAAGTGGTATTAAACAGTTTGGATGTATGTCAGGATATTGTATCTGTGCATTAGGTCTTAAAGTGACAGCAGCAATGTATGTTTAGTTTATTCAGTGAAGAGTATGCAGTATTTTAATTTTACATTTAATAATATGCTGTTAAAAAGACCTGCTGGACCTTCAACATTTAAAAACAAGTTTCTTTCATCTTTATATCTTTACTGTATTTTATCTGTTCTT